GAAAACATAATTTTTCCTGTGTATAAAAGTAGTTGCTGTTAACTAGGGTTTTATTTTTCGGGGTCACAGAAATACAGACTGTGAATAAATTAATCATGTATTTAGGTACTCATTAGCAATTAATACAGCTAACTAAGTTAGCATTAGTATTTTAAGCCCTGGAGATTCTTCCCTTAACAGAAAAAAAACATAGGATGATAGAGAACATTGTCATTGTAACATATTTAGCCTTCCTGTTTACTGCTTTAACTCTTGCTCTCTCTGACTCTGCTGCAGCCTGAATGATTTACAGAAATGTCTCAACATGTCCATCTTTTTGCACTTTCAGATACCCCTGGTAGCACTCATGCACAGTGGAGTGATGTGCACTGATAAGAAAAAGCTACACTTCAGTGATTCCAGGTCTATTAAAGTGAAATTCAGTCAACAAATAAAACAAATCCTGGTTGTTTTCTAATATGGCTGAACGGTAGGGTGGAAATGGGCTTGGAAGTCCACTATAAATTAGAGAACAAAGAAGGTTTTGAAATAATGAACTACATGCCATAGATGTGTTTTCAAAGCTAATGAAACCAGATGTTGATTAGCAGGAAAATAATAGATAAACATCTAAGGAAAACAGCGTTCAGACATTTTTTTTTTCGCTCACCAACTGCTTCAGAGAGTCCAAAGACACGCTGGCCGTAGGCATCGGTTTTGTCCCAGATAAACGTGTAGGATAAATTCGGTTGGGCAGGGAACCACTTTTGGAAGAGACGGCCCACTACCGCCACCATCAGGTGAACCTGCATCAACAGAACCAGGATAAAAAAACAAAAAACTATTCATCTGTTCTGTGCATTTGTTTGCATTTTGACCACAGTTGCATTAAGCTGTTTAATATCTCACCTTCATCAGATTGAAAGGAATGGATGATTGCGTCATGGACACTTTGAGGACTGGTTTGTACCCTGCAGCCCTGGAGCTGAGGTACACTAGGTTTAGATCACTGCCTGGGATGGAGGTTTCTTCTTGGAGAACCTGTCAGGAACAACAGACACAATGAGAACTCAGCATTACTCTGTCCAATTACAGTCTTATCCAAGGTGGGGGTAATGTTGGGTAGCAGCTAAGCCGTGCTCTCCAAATGAGTGAGTTCTAGTTTCTCCCAGTGGAACACGATCAGATGTCTGAAACGGATCAACTAGCTCGTTTCAATATAAAGCCTCTCTTGTTGGAGGCACCAGAGCTCCAGCATACCGCCGGGAGGCAGTGCTGGAAACGCCGCTGAAAGCTCTCTGCTGCAGGCAGCCTGTGGGGGATTTCCTGCTGCCCATTGCAGCATTTGTTGTTTTTAGGGTTTTAAGTAAAAACTGCAAGTACCAGAATAAACAATAGAATATTTTTCATCAGCTAGTTTGAACATTTCTAGTTTATTTGGGTATTTATAAACCGTTTCTCCATAGTTCATAAAAAATGTTTTAGTTTAGCAATAACGATCAGAGCTGCTCTCTATTCCTTCTACATAACAATCCATTCTTCTGTTGTTGTTTTTTAACTTTTGTTAAATGTAAAATGATTTTTTTGACCGCTTTTTTAGAGCTTTAAACATTAAATTGACATAATTTTTAATTTCTACTTAGGTGCAAGACATTTTTGGTGATTATTTAGTCTTTGCTTTTACAATAAATAAGCCAAGTCGGGTTGCGTACAAAGCCAAAAACCGTTACCAACCAAGGCCTTTGTTGGAAATTTTGGTAT